CTAGTGGTTAAAACATCAGACTAGAAAGGAGGAGATTGCATTCTTAAACATGAAAGCCAGCTAGTAACTTTGGGTCAGTCACTCTTTCTCGCCCTAACCCATCTCACAAGGCTGTTCTTGTGCAGAAAATAGGAGCAGGAAGGAGCATTAGATACATTCATTACCCTGAGTTACTTATGAAAAATAATATAGATGGGTTATAAATTTTACAAAAACTACATTTATCTGAAAACACGAAAATGCCAGTTTGTTTACATTACTGTGGTTGGTGACCCTCAAAGTGCAAATATGTTATTGGGTAAGCTAAATATATATTTTCATTATTATTAAGTGACAATATTAAAATATTTGTAAGCAGGCAGAAAAATTTATGATTACATTGTTTCTATTAATGATATTCATACTACTTCAGTTAAGATTCTACCACAGACGGTGAAGTCTATCACTCCTAGCGATGCTGCTGGATACTGCCCGCCCATGAGGGAGGTGCTGAGCTGAACACAGACTAAACCAACATCAGGCCCAAGCAACAAGACAGTTGGTCATTTTTTGTCACAATAGATCCAATAGACATCTCTCTTCTAATGCAGACATGACCCAGATCCTGCATTTGATCGCACGAGATGGCATTTGACGATCCAAAAAGTGGACCCTGCACCTGCAGGAATAATGCTAGGAAGATGATGAATGATGAGTTACATTCCATCATCACAAAGTCCATGCTATTTAACAGGAGACCCCAAAGCCTCTACCACAGAGGACTATGAGAGTGAGGCTTTTTCGTTCTTCTCATATCCTTTCTCATTTGCCTTTCAGTAATCTATTCTGTAGAACAAATTAATCATGGGAATTCCCAGAGGGGGAAAAACTACATTTAAATGTTGAAAATGTATAAAACATAGCTCCCCCACTAGCCAATCAGACATTAGCTTCTTTTCCTCTTGCAATGGGAATTGCAAAATTAGATAAATACTATTAGATTAGTAAATTAAATAAATAGTTTCTGCCTGTAGGGCATGTCGGCTCCGACAAAGTATGATTAGAACACTGATAACTTTGGCTGATTGCTATCTTTGCTGAAAATATTAGATGGCACACCTTTCTTCAAATGATCTATATTCTTTAGTAATTCTCATTTAGATTAGTTTTTAAAGATACATGTACTAAAAGACAGAGTGTTTAAATATGATTTCAGAAGACTACAATTATATACCTATATTTCAATCTGAAATTATATATTCCAAATATTTGATTTCAAGTATTACGTTTCTCTTTCAAATTCCAAATATTAACTGAATTAACCAAATCAGTTTTGACTTTATTTAGAATACTTGCATAGGTGTCATTGTTGGAGGTAAATGATTTCAACTGAGTACTATCAAGAAAAGAAATTAGTTGAACATTAGCTGTGTGAATCTGCCCTCAGAGACATAAAAGCAGAACACGTCAGCACCACACCTATTATGAAATCTGAAAATTCCTGTACAAGGTTGCCTTCAGGCATCTCTAAGGATTCCTAGGGAAAACTGCTTGCCTATAGATATAAATGGATATAACTCAAATAACTGAATGAAGTGCAGTAAAGCTCCACATTGTTCTTTTTTTTAAAAAAAGCATTGTTATTAAAAGTTACAATTAAAAAAATGAAAACTAATACAAACTAAAAAAGAAAAAAGTTCAGAAAAAATAATAGAAAGAAAATAGGAAAGGAAGAAAAAAATAAGAATATGGTAAAGAAACAGAATATAAAGAAATGAATTCTTTATCACAAGTATAAATAATTTTAATAAATTATCACTTCTTTTAAAATACAACAAATAATCTCTTCTTCCCATATTTTATGCAAGCATTCTAAATAAATCTACTGGGAGAAAATGGCTTGAAACATTTTGGAGCTAAAAATGGTCAAAAGGGAGATGCCCTCCTTGCTTTCAAGCAAACCGTTAATTCTTTAAAAAGGGGGCAAACTTTATAAGCGCAAACCAGCCTTTTTCACTATTCTTTTAAGGAAAACCTAGTAATGATTCCAATTTTCACCCTTCAAGTATTATGAATCCTGACTATAAGAGAGTAAAGACTCTGAATTTCAATGCATTCTTCAAAAGATATTTGTTCAGCTCAGACAAAGAAAATCCAGGTGATACCCTCTCAATGGTGGGACAAAACATTATCAGTGGGATATCAAAAATAACCAATTAATCACAAGGAAGAACTAATGCCATAATCTCTACCAGATGTTTTTTGGCTCCAAACAGCAGCTCAATGATATTTCTATTCAGCGTTCCGACTTCTTACCCTGTGTTTGCTAATGTACATCTTTGTAGACCAGTCAATCTTTCCAATTCTGGGGAGACACTCTTTTATGTCTGAATTACACCTCTGGATGAGTTTCCTAATCTTGTAGATTAGTATTAAGGTTTCCCTCACATAACACAGATTGTTGTGAGGAGATAAGAATGCTATAAAAGTTACTACTAACTCCTGAGAAAAGCTAGGATACAAATCTCGCAAATGAACAAAATAAATAGGCCACTGACCAGTACAAAGAATCATTTTATCCTGAAAATCAATGGCTCATTTGGAAATACTCAGTGGAAATACAACAGCATTAAATAGGCATCAGTCAACACAGTGGTCAAAAGAGCACATAATCATTTGGGTTTTTGTTTCACTGTCTTTTTATCGTTATAAATGAATAACAGAACATGTAGAGATAATTGGGGCTGAGGTTCTGAAAACCTAAGAGACCTAAAAGTCTCTGCACAGACCTGTCTTGGCCATTTTCATTGTAGGAACCCAGTTAGGAAGAGGGAACAATCTAAATCACAATGTGGCTTTTAGAAGCTGTTAGACACTGGCTTGCATGGCTTTCCCACCCACACAATTAGAAGAGAAAAGAAAAAGTTTCTCAGACAGAATAAAGACTGCACTAAAAGCCATGCTAGTATTCCTTTTCAGATAATGGGCTCCATCGCTGAAATATATACAATTGTCACCTTATGTAATTGGACCTGAATGTTTCAAGAATTGTATTATTAATACAAAATAATCAACATTCAATATTTTTGCCTGACATTGGGGAAATATTTTTCCCAAAGTTGAAATATGTTATTCATTTCAGAACTGATAAACATGGGAGGGAATAAGGGAAAGAGGAGGAGAAAGAAAGAGATAATGGAAGCTTCATATTTGTCTGTGTACAGAACCCATCTGAAATTGTTTTGTGCCACTTTCACATTCTGCAAGTATGCTGTAATCCAGGGGTCTGTGCCATACTTGTAAAATGGACTTAACAGCTTGCTGCTAATTCATAACAAATCCGTTTCCAATAAAACATTTTTTTCCCACAGAAGAAAAAACTGTCTTCCAAATAGTTTGAAATATCATTAGAAAAGGTTGCAAAAATTCTAACAATCATATCACATACAGAACAACATGATGCCATTTAAGTAGCAATAGTCAAATTTTTGCTTTCCATTCTCTATATTCCTTCCTTGTGGTGATCAAACTCTTTCTAGTAAATTGTTTGTTACATTTTACGAACTTATCTCAGTAAATAACATATGGATACAAAGAACCACAAAAAAAAAATCACTGATACTCAACAACAGGTGTTGGGCAAAAAATCATTTTTTTTCCTTTTTATGTGCAAAATTCATATCAAGTGTGTTGCTCATAACCTTTGAAACTAAACAGATTATATACACTGAATACTTTTACAGATGTATACTATGCAACTGATGCAGTAGTTGCATAGTATACATCTGTAATGGATGGATTTTTCACTATAAAATGGCTCACATTTAATGAGTCTATACTTAACACTGGCTAAAACTTTATGGGCTCATATTTTTCTGTCAAAATGTAAGTGTGTGATGGAGAAAACTTTTTGTTAAGAATCTCAGCAACATTTAAAGTATGTCTCCATTTTTGATCAAATTTGGAACATTAGTTTTGGTATCTCCATAAACTCTACAAAGAGTTATTTTAAGGCTTCAGTCTCTGTAAAGAACTCTGCATGGTCTCTGCACTTCTGTGAACAAATACCAGTAAGATGTACAATTGATTTAAAGCTCAATATCCCATGATATTGACTTTACTTAGTTGATATAATAGAAAAAGATCTTAAATTCAGTTCTACAGACTTAGGACAACTTGCCACGACCAACTTGCCACGGCCAATTCACTGGAGGATAACTGAATGCGAGATAACTGTAGACCCACTCCTCTCTTAATATTATTATTCATATTAATATTATTAATAATAATAAAATCCCAATGATTTTAATAAAACTAAGGAAGAGGTAGATGGACAACTTAATCATATTAAGAGATATTCATATTTAATGCACTGTTATCTCGTATTGAGTTGTCCCATGGCAAGTTGTCCCCCGGTGAGTTGTCCATGGCAGGCTGTCTTGTGGTGAGTTGTCCACAGTAAGTTGGCCCATTCTACAGTTCTAGTCTAGAATTACATGTAACGCTTCCTGTCAGGTGAAAAAGAATGGATCCGCACATGAGAGTTCAAGCTAACTACTTTATTGTATTCTGCCTATAATATAGGAATCTCCCTGGGCTGTTTGTCTTCCCTTGGGAGCTGATAGATACAGTTTCATGGAGATTAGGTGAGGTCAACAATTCAAGCCGAACTCCCTACTTGATTCCTCCTCACTGCCTGCTGGGTGTTTCCCAATACTTATAAAACAGACAACTAAAATGTTTAAAACCAGAAAGCAGTCAGGTGAAACCTGTTTATAGGATTGGATCATAGCTGCATTCATAATAACTAATTTTAGGGTTAAGAGATACATGTTAAAAATTCAACTAACCCCTAAAAATAATTTGAGACCAGAGTTGTTGAGCATCAGGCAACTTACAAGTTTAAAAAAATATTGTAACTTTACAAGAAAATTATCCAAAGAAATGCCTCTCTTGTTAGGAGATAAACCTATAAACCCTTACTTAATACTCTAAGACATTTGATACCAGACATGACTTACTCTAAAACTGCATGAGTGGCTGCCTGTGCATGGTAACGATACAAGAGGAGGCACTGGTCAACTCGAAACACTTCTCCGCCTTTTCGAAGATGTTCATAAAAGAAAAGCAGATCCTCTGGGGTCCCCTGCAACAGACCATATTTTGTACAAAATGAAAGAAGTTGATACAGTAAATTATTATTTTCAAACACCTATAGCAATATAAATGTAATATAACATATTAGAACCTATGAATAAACTTATTTAATGGATCTTCAGAAGTATTTTCTATGGCTAATCTGTAGTAAAGGAAATGAGGAAACTTTACACTACTGGAAATATTTGGAAAAAACATTTGATTTCTGTTTGATTTTTGAGAGCAAAATTGCCCCTCTCCCAAATCTTTAAAGAACATAATATAGCTGTGCACTATGAAATTGAGAGAAACTGTGAGAAACCAATACTTCAGCAAAAATATCATAAATGTATACCATAAATGTCACTGAACCTTGACAAGAATAAACAAAAATTGAGTACTCTAAATTTCTATGATTCAGGATGTGAGATGAAATATCAATAAGAGCCATGTATACCATCTTTCTTCGTATCAGACACATAATGTCAAAAACCTATTCTCATTTTCTATCATTATTTCATATAAATGAAAATGATCAATAACTTTTGTTTGAATATAGCGACAGTATGGTCATGTGACAATATAAAACAAAACATATAATCCTCAAATATTTTCAAGATATTGTTCATTTTTAAACCTGCTCTATTACAAGCTGTCATGAGACCATGCTATGTAAACAAATTTGGTTTATAGAAAAGACATACAAGATTAGTGGCATAACAGTGAAAATGAATCATAGAACTAACATACATGTTAGGTGGCAAAAGTAGTGGACAGAATATGCTATTTATTTATATCAGAAGTTCTAGAAGGAGATAGAAAGCACAGCATTCTGTTCTGTTGAATTCTCAGTTGTTCTAAATACTTTTGCACCCTAATAATAGTCCTAAGAATAATTATTTAATTTATAAATTGCTGCTTAACTCCCAATGTCATTCTTCATATTTTATGCTTTATTTTTATTGCTCACAAGTAAGCAGCTCCAAGATCTTTTCCTGCTAAAGAGTAAAGTTGAATTATTTCAAATGAAGAGTATTTAAATAAAATTCAATTATGAAAACATTATAATATGTTGTATTTTTTTAATTTTGGGTATTCTATATTGAAGACAAAATAATTATATCAAATGATCAAGCCTTCTCTTCAGTTTTTACTGCATGGGACCTTAGTTTTGGATAGATAGATGGATGTCCAATATAGAAACAAGTAAAAAATAATCAGAATTATTTAAAAGAACCTCCTACCAGGAAACTGAGACAGTTTAACAGTATCTCTTGAAATTTTTGTAATTTATAAAACTAAATTCTAATCATTTTTTTCATTCCAGTCTTTTGTATAAATGTTTAAAGGATCTATGGTATTAACTAAACTAAACTAAACAGCTCAATTCCACCTTTATCTTAGTGTTCATATTTGCCAAGTGGCAAAGGCAGAAGCAAGAGAAACCACAAAAATTGACATGACCTAATGCAAACCCAAAGGAGCAGTTTAATTTGAAATAATTTGTATATATCAGGTCTAACTATATTGACCAGCTTTTTATCATTCAAGGGTTTCCTGAGCGTTTTACCCTGCAAATATTTTACCATGGATGATTTGGCCCTTTTTCATTATTCAGCTGCATGATTCTCTCTGAGATCTAATATTCAGATATTATTCTGAATATTATGAAAATTTTTATGTAGGAATTGAATATTAATATTTTCCCAATACTGTATACAGATAAACAACTATTAAGTATGAAAGGACATAAAATTGGTTTCTGTAGGAGCCACAGATATCACAGATGCAACACTACTGATTGAAAAAGTCTCCTTATTTTTTGCCATTGGGTAGGAAGAACTGTGTGATAACTCAGCTGTAGCTTTCCAGTAACCTCTGCAATATTTTGATGCTGAAAAGAAGTATCTTACATAGGTTTCTATCAGGTTTACTAAGAAGGGTAATAAAGAATATAGCAGAGAATAATGAATACTTGCAGTGGGAATGTGAAAAACAATATAACCACCAGAAAAAGAAAACACCAGTTTCTTCAACCTACATTCTAGTGAGATTTATTTTTCCCTTGTGCTCAACATTGTGGTGATGCTATGTCAATGGCAAAATTTAACCTGGCTTCTGTTCTTCATGTCATGCTCCAAGTTAAGTCAAGTTAACCACATGGTTCTAATTACAGAGCAACATGCTGCCCAAGTTTTTTTGTGTGCATGTGTATGTTGCCACATAATATTTGTAGAATTTATTGCACCATATACCATTCCCAGTGCTTACATATTTCCCCATTCAAACTATTACTTTCACTAGATTCCATAATTAAGAATACTGTGATTTAAATGTTCTGTGACTTATTTTGGCACCAATGTATAGAAGTACTACTGTAAAATATGCATATATTTCCATGTCAAAATGGAAAGGGGCCCACTTCAAATAAAAAGGGTTACAAATTTGAAAAGTCTGGTTACCATAATAAGGAAACAATTAAGAGCTTGTTAATTATATATCAATGAACTACCAATGAACAGCTTGGTAGTTATATATCTTCAGAAACAAGTGCTGCTACTGATATGTTACCGTGTTTCTCATATAATAAGGCTGGGTCTTTTTTTTTTTTTGAGCCCCGAAAAAATGGCTAGGCCGTCTTTTCAGGGGTGACTTAATTCCCCCCCCCTTGCATCTTCGGGCGGGCGGCAACGGCTTGGATGTTGACCTCGGCATTGGTGGGGCACTTTGTATCGGGGTCAACGCAGGCAGCACCATATCCGGGTGTGCAACAAAAGTACTTCCTAACGGCAAGCCCCCCCACCATTCCCCCCCCATTTCGCATGTTTTAATATAGGCCTTAATTTGGGAGGAGGGGCTTAATTTCATTTCATGCCTATAAAACATGCTTGGACTTCCTATTGGGGGAGGCCATATTGTTGGAGAAACAGGGTAATTGTGATAAGGATAAATACTTATTCAGAAAGAAACATAACACTTTAAAGCAATTTTAATCCAAAAAACATCTATTGAAAAAAATGTGCTCATTGGGAGCTACAGCAGAATAAAAAGCACATTAAATTGGGCTGATATGATTAAAAATATCAGCCTAATATTGACTTTTAGAACAAGACAATCTCATCTATACAGAACCCTTGAAAACACCATTACAATCAAGGAACACAGGTCAAACACAGGTATATGTGTATCTGAACAGTTATCACCATGATACTCATATATTTACAATTTCAATTCACTTATCTGTATTATTTCTTAACAAATCTCAGGGTCCTACTTTTCTATAGGCTTGCAGACCCATTTATGCAGAGGGAGGTCAATGATCAATGTACAGTTTTCATAATGGCTTCAAACTCTGGTTCTTCCTGGAACTGCCACCAAAGACATGTCTATAAAACCTATTACAACAATTCATTCATCTAATGCTTAGCCTTAGAGTTTCCCCAAACCATACAAATCCAGTTAAGAATTTTCCTAGCTTTGTGGCTGAGCCCAAGAGTTATGCCCTGATAGGTTTGTAAAGTATACTGGCCCAATCTCAAAGCAGGAAATTTGTGATAAAGATAATTGCTTGGTTATTTTGAAAAACGAAGTTAAAAGATTAACCTCCCGAAACAAAAATATGTGAGCAGCCACAGTTCACTTGGAAAGGAGTAAACATCAAGTAATGGATTTGATTAATTACCCCAGCATGCTTAACAACATACTATTAAAGGTATACTGTTAAGAAGGGCTTGTTTTAAAGAAATTTATAAGCTTTTTTTATTTATTTACATTTATAACTGTAAATATTCATTTTCTAACTTCTAATGTTTTTCTTGTGACCTTATTGAAATATATGCTATGTAGCTTTCTCTTTTCAATTTTTCTCCTTAGCGCTGAGCAGAATTAAGGACAAACCCCATCTAAAGATGTTTCAATTTCCATTAAACTTTATCTTTCTGGGATGCTGATATATTTTCTGAAATACAATAAAATATGTAATTATGTTGATAAATTTCAGAAAATCAAATTAATTAACCAAATTAATTCAATTCAGGCAGCTTTTCTTGCATCCACTTCCCATTTGTTCTGCTGGAAAAAATATCTTCTAATTCTTTTACACACAGGATTCATACTTTGCCCTTTTTGGCATTCATTCTATGTTCAATTCTTTCCTTTTCCTCCATGTCAATTTTCTGCTGAGATTCATCCAACACTATACAATAATATGCCCCTTATTCAAAACTGGAAAGTCTTGTCATTTTTGTATCAGTCACTAAATATCTAAATCTTTCATCAGAAATAATCAAAATAGTTATATTTTAGCTCTATAGTTCATTGTCACATGTATCGATGGATTTATGCTTAAACTGCAATTTAAACAACTGGATCTTTTTCTAAAGAGATGTACATAAAATCATTCACCATTCTTACTTATTCTTGAGACTGTAACTGGTCTCTCCACAGTTGCTTTGTTCCATTCCATTCATTTATATCACCAAAGAAAGTAATTATTCCCCTGTATCAATAAGTCAGAATACTGCAAATTTCCCCAAAACTCCATTTATGCTTCTTTTCTTATCACCATCTACTGTTGGAAACACGCAAGTATCATCAACCTATGAAATCCTGTTTTCATACAGAGAACTCCATGATAATAACTTTACGCTAAGCTGGAGAGATGCCCATTTTATCTTCTTGCATTGGATTTTTTATGAAATTGTATTTCTTACATCTGCATATCTGTCTTTTAAATTATAACTCATCTTATGTTCCTTTGCAGAACAGCAATATGTAGCAATATACATACAGAAGTCTTCCATCTTATATAACATGAGTTCATTATTGTAGGATTTTATATGTAATGTCTGACATCATTTCAATACACTACTTTGCACTGAAGTTAGTAGAAGGTGCCATTCAAAACAATTCCATCATGTGTAATGCTGTATTACGTAAGTACCTTCTGAGTCAATTCTCAAATAGAAGCTGTGATTCATACAGTTTTGTGATATCTCTTTCAAATGCCATCTAGGGCCCTGTGTCTCAGAATAAGTCACAGGGTTCAATTATAAGTGAAATATTTAAAATGCTATGTTAACATTGGGAAAATTCTAGAGTTACTTGTTGTGAAAAAGCTGGTGTTCCTATGTGCTTGCAGAATGTCAGTACAGATTGGCAATAACATCTTCACAGATAACAAAACAAATGCCACATTAGTTCTCCTTTTTTGTGCTTTCCCAGAGGTAATATTACTGCTGACAATATTAACATTTTTATATCATTAATTACAGTGATGATGGTGTTCCACTGGAAGAGCTGAGGGACCAGGTTGGGGACAGATTGCCATGGAGAAAATCTATCTATATGAGTTTATATCAATTTGATGGGACGTAATCAATCAATCAACGAAAACACCATAGTAATAGACCTGTGTTGCTCAGTTCCTCTATCAATGGCACTTTGGAAAACAGGCTAAATTCTTAATTAAATATAACTCAATCAAATGTTTGATGAAGAACTTCAACTGTGATTAGGATCACATGGTACAAGCATCTCTTGAGACATTATTGCGTAGATTTCCCAACCTAGAGCCCTCTAGATATGTTAGGTGTATAACTCACAGAATTTCTAGCCAAAAGCACTGCTGGGTGGAGATTCTTATAACTGTATTTCTAACATATCTGGAGGGCATGCAACTGGGAAAGAATGAGATCAATTTTTCCCATAATTAGGTTATGCTTCTCTCCTTTTCATATTACGTACCTTTCCTTCTTCATTAAATCTTCCAACAAGATAAAACCATTCCCGAGAACAGAACCAAGTTGGCATAATTACTGTTGGTCCATGGGATGTGAAAACCTAGAAACAGAATGAGAAAACAGTCTTTTATTTTTCAAAGAAGCATAGTTCTTAAGAAATAAAATTGGGGACCTAATACTTCTTTTCAGTAAAGGCTGAAAGCCTGGTAAGTATTTTGAGAGAAATGGGTTGTTTTGTTAAGAAAACTGAGTAATTTTTCAGGATAGGTAAGAAATGCTATGAATACTATAATAAATTCTGAATATTTTGTTACAAAGCTTCAGTGAGGGAAAGTACTGTTAATTGGTAGAGTGATACTGAAGAAGATAAGAAACACTTTTCCATGAACTGTACTTCCTCTCTATTATTTTCTCCTTAGAACAATTTAAAGGATGGGCTACATATAACACCATTTAGATCACAAAATCAACAAGACAAGAATGAAACATGCTTCCCAAATAATCGTTTTTCACACTAAAGCAAAACTGAACTCAAGAACTCAGATTACAAATCTGAGATCATGCGTTTTGCAATATCTCATCTGGTTTCGTTAAAAAACATAAGGAACCCAATATAAAAACCCATTTTTACAACCCTGTAAACACTTAATTCAGGAAAGAGTTGGGGTGACTAGAGGGAGCTGAGCATTTTCTGGTTGAATGTCCTTCCTGATGCCATGCAGAGTTCGCAGAAGACATTTTTTCTTTGCACCCTAGGAGAGACATGCCTGCTGGTACTTAGGATTAAACTATCAACCGTCTGAGTGGGAGGTGAGTGTCTTTATTACTAGGCCACCATGCTGTTTACAAGGACCCCAATATATGGACCATTATTTAAATGTGATATTCTACAATGAGATTAATGCATTCCCTATACAAAGTGTTATTGGCATTTCCGGCCATTCGTTTAGAAGTAGCCCTTGCATCTGAGACTTGTCAATGTTTCTTAGATTGAAATAAAGAAAATTTAGCAGCTTTCTACTACATTCTATGGCATGCAATAAGTTTCCCGTAAGATCTAAAGTTCACAAACATGAAATAAAGTAGTTGGAAACTAAGCACACCTGTAATTTTACTGTTTACATATTATATGCCAAAATTAACAACCAATGGAAAGTGCTGTCTTAGAACAAATCAAGTGGAAAGTATTTGAATGACTCTGTAACAGCCTTAAGCAATTGGTATTTAGTAACATTTATTTTTATGTCCACGTAATATCTATAAAATAAGAACAAAAAATGGCACACATGAGTAGAAATATTGGCAAATTTAATAACCTAAATATTTACACAGAAAACTGAAGAAAACTGGTATCTGGGAAAATAAATGAATGTGACCCTTGATTTGTATATTTCTGAACGACAGTTTCAGTGAATTATACCAACAAAGCCTTTTTTGCTTTAAACAAGTATGGCTTAAACCTAGAGCTGAAATAAACCAGAATATCCGGATTATGTAAGGTAAATCAATTTTTTTCCATGAATTTAAGACAAAATGTCTAGCATGTCTGCAGACTAATCTTCTTGTCAAGAAGTTAAAGGAGTATAGTGCATCCTGCCTTAGGTATTATATCTAAAGCTACTTTTATGAGCTAAGCAAACACAGACAGATATTAGTCGTTTCCAGCTGCTTCTTGTGGACTTAACCTAGCTCATTCGCAGTGTATATGTGATCCATACAATACCACTATCCAGTTATTATTCTACCATAATTTGCAGTACTGATTCTTTCACTAGTTTCCTTATTCCATTACAACTTCCCTACATATTCTTAAAGCACTTTTTAAAAGTAATATTTTTTTAAAAAATTGAACTTAACCTGACAGCCATCATCAAGATGCCAGATCTGCACAATATAGCTCAAATCACATTCACTGCATGTTTGGGCTGCAAGAAAAATAATCACATTCCATACCAGATGTTCTAGAAATATGTAAGGCAAAACAGTATAAGAAGAAAATGGTCTAATTCTAATAACATACTTAAACCATTATCCCTAGTAATATTGTATGTTCATTATCTTGTTTTTAAGATTTAACATAGTTTATCTTCAAAAATCATTCTGAATGAAATTAGTATAAAGGACATAAAGGCAATATTGAAACTATAGGAAGAGTAATTATCCTGAAAGATCACTGAAGAAAAGTAGCCTTCAGACACATAGATCCGTGATAACAACTCTATGGCATGCATGCCGGAAGTGGCACGCAGAGCCATCTCTCCGGGCATGCCAGCCATCGCCCATTGCTTTCCAGGTTCTGACATGTGCATGCGTGCTGGCCAGCTGGTTTTTGCACACATGGAAGTACCGGAAACTGGAACAGCAGCTCTCTGGCGCATGCTTCTGGTTTCCGGCAGTCCCATGCGACATGCTGGGGACTGCTCATCCGGTTTCGCCATCACTGATATAGTTGTAACCAAATCATACATTTTCCCCTCTGAACTTCTAAAAGTTCTCTTATTTTCCTTTATTTGTTGACATTCTTGACTGAGGTATCTTTTCTTGTTATTTGTTTGATATTGAAGTCTGTGTTCTGTTATCATGTCCTTGTAATCCTAGGCTTTCGTCTTTCGGCTATTATGTTGCTTAGTTTTAAAATTCATTTTAAATATTCAGTGAATATTCATTTCTCACACATACATTCCTTTTGTTTATTTGGTTATAGCTGAGCACATACTTTACAGTATCCATTTTGAGCATCCCTTCCCTTCCATTCCTTCATTTGGTCATTGCATTCAGTATTATACAATGGATTATGGTTAAAATGACTTGTTCTGGACCAAATAAGTAAAATGTGTTATTTAGCTCTGTCTTTCAAAACACATAGTATTCTCTCAAACTGTCAACTTCCAGAGTTCTTTCCAATCTTACAGTCGGAGAGAAGAAACATGAAACGGGCAAAAGGTATCCCTGCAAATTTGTACAGGTGCATCCAAAGCTTAGCAGAATTAAGAATATGAATCTTATAATTATCTTTAACAATATTTTTTTAAAAATCCTGCAGCTAATAATGTTCTCTAAAAGATTGCAGAATATATGTTACAGTAAGTAGTAATATAGGGCTCTCCTTTTTAAAGTTATTTATTGTCTTTGAAGAGTCAAATAAATTTGTTGGTATTGAAGTGATCAATACTTCTGAACTTCGGAATCACACGTTGGCGCACCTCACCAGAGGTAAGAAACAGCTTTTTGTTGATCTTAGACTCATTCGTGTGTGCGCAAAGCGCATAGAACCACACATAGAACTGTAGGAAACAATTTGGAAACCCACCACTGCTTATATTGTACATTTGGAAGTATTAGAATGGGACCGGTTTAGGTTTATTATATTTAGCCTATAATAAAATATAAAAAATATTACATACCAGGCCATTCAGTGATGAAAGCATCTTGGGAAATGTATAAGCTAACATACTCTATTAACTGGCAATGTATTTTCAACAAGATAAATGAACAGACCCAAACATGTTTAAGTACCACAGATCCAATAGAAGAAGCCATACCCTATTTTGACTGGATTGAAAACTCATAATATCCAGCTTTCCTTTACCATCAAAAAAATGATATTATTTTAAAAATCTAATTTAAAAAATCTACATCCAATTAATTACTCATTTTACACATTTATAGTCTAAATGGGTATATATCTTGCAAAATAAAACACAGTAACTAATAGATGAAATATACTGAAATACATTAGAGTACAAAGTTTAAACGTGGATCTATGAAATCGTGTAAACAACTAAAACATAAAAACAAATAAAATTACCTACAAACAAACCTGACAGAATATTTTTAACAATTTTTTTGTCTTCTGCAAATCTGTTATTATAATTACTTGCAATCATATTGCAATCATCCCACCCAGAAACAGGGAACAAAAAGAACAAAACCTACACAGCTCTTTCTTTTTTTTCAATAGCTGGGAATTACACCTCCCCCAGCATCTCAAACTTCTACGCATTTCTTGACAGTTACTGCCAAACCCTAGAGCAATGGGAACTCTCTAGCTTTGTGTGATGATCCTGAGAAGTGCCTAAGACACTCATACACACGTAAATTATGCCAATTTTTGAAGGTGCAAGACAAACTGGTAGAACAGCATTATGAATTGATTTATGAATTAATCCGTAGGTGTTGATTCAGTAAGATAATGAATTCATTCTCCATTTTCTGCCTTGCCTTAGGGAATATGAAGTCATGTGTTGTTTTTTTAACAAATTGTCTCTTGGTCAGCTTTTTCTAGCTTCAGAGAAAACTTAACAAGTGTTATGTTTCAGTGCATTTTATACCAAATGGTTAAACTAAAGCGGCATGTGGGTGTCTTTTTAGAGCACGTATTGGTCGACTGATTTAAGTTTTCATGGCTTAAAGAAATTCCCGGTAACAAAATATTAATTGGTTTTTAGTTTCCAGCTAATCTTGTTGAAAACTACACATTGTACTGGCATATGTACAGAATTATAAACTGCAAACTGAAACTGGACAGAAAGCTCCTCTATTGAAATTAAAAGGAAGTTTGTTTGTTTTTTTAAAAAATGCATGTATAGAATTGATTTCACCAGTTAACTTCTGTATGAGAACAAGAGCATAATTTGAAAAACTGAAGCTAATTAACCCAAGGCATCCTTGGTGCTTTCAGATCTTGGTTGTTTTCTTGCAGATGTTTCATTACCCAAACTATTAGGTACCATCGTAGGACTAGCACTGATGAGGATACCTAGGCTGTATAATGAAACATTTGCAAGAAAACAAGTTCAGAGAGCAGCAAGGATCCCTTATTTCAACTCTGAGCTACAAATATTCTCCTTTATTGGCTAATTAACATTTCTAACGCGAAACAATGTATTTTTCTCTCTTATATAATGAACATCTCAGACTATGAACACAGTTCTCTTTCAGCATATAATCTACAACCAGTAGATTTCTGATCTTTTAAGAAAAAGAGTTTCTTAAGTCTCTCGGAGTGGGCAAAGGTACATGTGATTTTCACTTAACCACATTTTCAGTGCCCATTCAAACATACAATGACACTAAATAAACCAGTCCTCATACTTACAG